GGGGTCCCCCCCCGAATTGTAATGGAATTCTTGTAACATTCCCAATTTCAGATGTTGGCTGTACTTTAAATCACTGCAAGTAGCAGAAAACGTCAAGGAAACGTACAGATTTCCGGTATTGTTCACATCTACAACGCCAGTATATTGTTGGGTTCACTTTCATCTATTCTTCTAGTACGACAAGAACCGTTAGCATCCCTCAACTGAGGCATGGAAGTAGGTATTGATTTCTGAGCTTGAAAACTCGTGCAGAACCGGGTTTCATATTCCCCAATCAACATATGTCTCAAGAAACTCCGCCTACTACCTTTATAGCATAGGTGTCTCGTCCGGCTGTTACAAACTCCATCTGGGACAACATACCAGACTCGACTGACGATTCGGAAGTAGGGAGTCACCTTCATCCAACCATATCTCGCAATACCATCATTAGCGCTCTCTCTCTCTCTCTGTGTCGAAGTCGTCCGGATTAGGGCCCGAAGGCCTTGGTGATAACAAGGAACTAAAGCAGTTCCCGAGGTTCCCTTGCAACTGATACCGTATACTTTATACTCGTTGCCATTGGTGGTGGTACTGGTACCGTACAGCAATATAAACAAAGGCTTGAAACACACCAAACCCGAATCTAAGGCCGAAGGAGGTCCCCAGGTCCCCATCCAACGATGGCGTCAGTCCCAACGCCAATCAATCAACCAGTAGACCACATAACGAAGAAAACGATAAGAAAAACTTCAGCCATCTGTACGTCAGACGTCCGTTCATCATACATCCGTCGTTGTGATAGGATGTAGATGAAGGCAGAGGCAGAGGAGAAAAAGAGAGGGGGGAGAAATGCATCCTTCATCTTGAGTCTTGATCTCAATTTTCTCGCATGGACGTAGCCTGTATGGGCGGAGCAAAGAGGAAGGGACCAAGGTAAGGCGGAGGCAGCATGTTGGCGTTAGCAAAAGGTACGAGAGGAACCAGGGTAAGCGTAGGCGTGGGGGTGGAGGGTAAGAAACTCAATTCCTCAGAATGCTAGCAAGCGTCTGAACGTCTAGCAAGCGCTTCGGCACACGTAAAGCAAAGGAAACCCCAAATATTCCTCCTTGGCTCCAAGCTTCCGATTCTCCTGGTGTGGTTGTCCGAGACGAGGTTATATTTCGCTCCTCTTGTCCATGGGTGGAAGTAGGAAGACTCTAAAGTGCATGTCAATCTTGAGCTTGAAGCCAGGAATAGGAAACAAACCGAGCCATTTAAGTTGCTTCATGTCCAAACAAGGCGTAAAAATTAATCCAAGGTTTAAGTGTCCTTTTACCGTGACGGTCTCTCGTTCTTTGAGCTTACTGTGAGTTTTGTCCTCTATTCCAAGTAAGCCTCTTGACACTGATGTTGATTGAAGCAAAACCTGGTTATGGGTCTCGGTCGGATGAGCAGCACGCCGTACTATGGAGGGATATGGAGCGCAGCGATGGCGGTGTTTAGCAACATGTCGAATGCACATTTGAGAATGGTGCACAAACCATATTACTACTCCTATTAATTCCGGCAAGAGCTAGAACAGTAACCAAGTCGTCAAAATCTGACTGCGGTTTCCGACTCCAACCTTGTCCTGGCTCGAACACTTTTGTTTTTTACAGTTGCAGGAAGGAAGCGCTAGAGCTGAGACGAATGTTTTCATTTAGAAAGGGTATTCGAAGATCTTTAATTCGGAAGGAGTGCGTGGTTGAGAAAGAGAAAGAGAACGATCTAGATTTCATGGGCGCTTGAATATATCCATTGCATTCTGCGGGTCGTCTGTTACTGTACGAACGGAATTGGTTATGAGATTAGATGGATTGGAGGATTCAGTTGGCTCCAAGCCTAATTTTCCTGTTGACTATTACTACTTAGTACGTCCTCCGTATTCTCATCAACTATGGAAATTGAAATTTTCATTTTCCACTAGTTATACCGCTTCGTGTATGTTTCAAGTTTCCTTTGTGCCAAATCGCTTACAACTCTCAAGAGGATGCACCGTTTACGGCTGTACAAGCCCAGTAGGGTACTGTGAGCAAATAATGGCCGAGTTATTAACATATTTCTCACATTTTGACTCATGGGGCCATTATTCACACCTGTTAATAACATTTTTTCACAAATTTCGTTCGAAGTGTTAATAACAAGTGAAAAAAGTAAATTTTCACATGTGAATAAATAAATCGAAGTGAATAATTCTAAAAGTCATAGTCTGGGACGTCAGGCTTGCTGGAAGACTGGATTGTAGTGCTCGAGGCCTTGCCCTTAGCATTAGATTGATCCCCAATGGGAGGCCCAGTCTCCGAGATCATATCGCAAAGTACCGGAGCAGCCAGATCAACATCTTCGTCGAGAGCAAAGGCTGTATCGCTGACCTCCCAATCTGCAACACTACATTCCGCAACATCTTCTTCATCTGAAGAATCTTCATCGCGCTCACTATCAGCCTCGCCACCATTCTGCAGCTCCTTGGTCATATCCCAAAATTTTACAACGGGTCGACGCCGCAGTTTGACAGGCTCTCCAGCAATCTGCAAATGTCTGTTAGCACTGATTGGTGTGAGCAGCGGGAGCATACCCTTGGAGAATGAACTTTATACCATTGTCCCACTTGGACAATGTCAACCAGCGTACTGACAGACTGGTTGCCCCGGAGCGCAGAGTTTTGCCGTGTAAACTCAGATACCGTACATTCATCTGGCATAGAGTTGGGTAAAACTGCGAAAATCTTGACATTAATTGTCTATCGGAATCATCAGCAAAATAAGATATACAGAGCTATGAATACATTACCGCAAGTACATCAGCGTTTTCATCCTGAGTCAGATGTTTCCACCATTTCAGAGGATCGGTGTCTTTGTTACGGCCAGATTTGAAAGGGAATTGGTCGCGACCAAATGTCAGGAGCTGTGATTTAAAGGCCTCGACTAGTTCATCTTTGCGATGATACCGAGTCTGAACTAAATTATAACGTAATGCCTTGTCACCATATTCCGACAGTGCATCAACCTCATTCTGAAGGACTGTCTTCAAGAATGTTTTGGCACGCTGAAAGGCCTTTGGATGAAGAATACCATCGTCGTTCACAGAAGAGGCTTAGCCCAGCCAATTTCTGAACCTTCCGTCAGCAATAGTCAATGTAGGCCTAATGCATTGGCCCCCGTAATTTACGGTCTGTCCGCATTACATTATCCCTCGTGACCTCACCCAGCCAGTCCGCTTTCAATGTCGCATTACAATAGCTGTGTAATGCGACTTGTTCATTTTTTGATACAAGTCACTACAATATGTACGTAGGCAGAGTAATATACTTACACTACATTGATACTTAATGTACTCCATCTGGCAAAGTGGTATTCATGGTCAATGATTCCGGTAGTGGGGCTGGTTCATGCCTTGAGGTGAGTGTTCAATCCTCACAGGTACCAAAAACAACTGAATGTTTTATTTTTCTTTCAAAGCAATGCCGTGGCTAGCTCTCATTGGGGTTCGCCCGAAGGGTGAACCCTAACATTAGAGAGCTAGTCCGGCATTGCCAAACGTGCTTGGTTAGTGATTAGGGGTTGGGGTTAGGGTTCGGGGTTGCTGCCTATCGAAATAAGCGCAAATGAGGCTTTAGAGTGCCCGCCCGAAATTTGCGCGCCATACATATATATTAATAATCTTCATTATAACAAGACACGGAGGATAATTGAGTGTAATCTAATGTGACAAGGAGCCTAATCTAATGTGACAGGGAGCCTAATCTAATGCGGCAATGTACCCATTTGAAAGCGGACTGGCTGGGTGAGGTCACGGGGGATAATGTAATGCGGACAGACCGTAAATTACGGGGGCCAATGCATTAGGCTTACATGGTCTCCTGCTGTCAGATTCCTCTTTCAGTCCGTCCAATCCTACTTCAACGTCCTCCCGGTCCAAGTCCTCGTCGTGAACCACGGTATATGGCCTCCTCGAGATGCCTGTGTATGGGAAATGGAGCTGGATCAATGGAAAGAGAAGGCTATCGATGTCAATCTGACTGCGAGCTTTTTGGTGGCACAGTATTTTTTGGAGGTTTTGGCGGACTTGGGGGGAGGGTCAGGATGAGGTAAATGTGGTGTTTGTGGTAGCTCGAGAGAAGGGACATACGGATTATGCTGCTCCCAAGAGTGGCACGCCCTGTCTTTATCTTTCTTTCAGAATTGCTAATCGTTGTTCAACGTACATAGGTATGATGCATGGGTTAACATTTATTCTCAAGAACAAGATCGTCAAGATCGCTCCTCGAGGACGCGTCAACTGTGTCGCTCCAGGCTGGGTCAGAACTCCGTTGGCTGAAGAGGCATTGAATGATCCGGAGGTTGTTTATCCGGCGCTTGCAACATACGTTCGTTTGTTACTGTTTCCTTCTTTTCTTCCCCCCTCCATCTACTCGTATCTCCATAAATTTTGAGCCTTCGCAACTCACCTCTCTTAGAACCCCCCTCAAGAAAATCGGAACAACATACGATACTGCAGTGCAGATCACACTTTTAGCCTCAAGCAAGGTGTCGGGACATGTATCTGGTCAGATCGTTAATGTTGCTGGAGAGATGGAGGGTACATTTTTCTTGGTTCTGGTTTTGTTTTTTTGGTCTACGTTCGCCTCTCGATTTTTCTCCCTGCTCGTTTGTCCGTCGTCGCGTCGGTTTAACTCCAGGCGCTCTGGTCGTGATTTCTATGCTCGGCTTCTGTATGCCCTACCTATCATGGGTCGAGTCTTTGCCAGTTTCTTTTCATGGACACGAACGATTCTTTCTTGCTTCTAGGAAGTTTATTGAATAAACCGGAAGATATCTGAATACGAATATCAATACCGTATGAACTACGTATGTCTTCGATGAATCAAATCTCTGTCGCTTGTTACCTCCGGCATTCTTTTTTCTTCCGGGAAGTTAACTACCTGTGACCACCGTTTGTTTTCAACCTGCTCAAAATGGAACAGAGAGATAGTGAGTGGTACACGTTTTCGAATGAGTCATGGCCTGATGGTCTAGGAGTATGATTCGTTGTTAGGGCTTGATGTCTTTTCGACGAGGTCCCGGGTTCAATTCCCGGTCAGGCCCTAGTCGGATTTGTCAACTTCCCTTTTTTTCACCTGCCTCATTGAACAGTACGCACGCAAGCATAATATTAAGATGAAGGGCCCAAAAGAGTAGAGACTATATTCTTTTGAGACGCGTAGTATGCAGAGAAATGATGCGCTTGGTGCGAAATTGCATCAATGTTGGCTTGTTTCCCGTCATCTATCATTCATCTTTGCAATGAATTTGACCCGACCCAGGAAGCACTAGCTTACAAACAGAAGACTAGATCGCGCAATTTCATCGATGACCCGCGTCAGTGTACAAAATCTACCCATATCCGTCGTTCTCTGTCCAACCACTTTGTGAAGGTATGTCCCAGCAGGATCTAGAAGGTAGCGGGCAGCTCGACAACGCCAATGGCACCAGCAAATCCTCCAGCATTAACGATGATTCCTCCGACTCTGATAACTTATTTCTTCTCCCCAACCTCATTTTCACTTCCTCAGAAGAAGCCCAAGTTATTCAAATCCTGGATGCGCGACTATTTCCCTGGGTCCTGCTCACAACATTCGTGCTAAACATGGACCGCACAAACATCTCCAACGCAATTTCGGACAATTTGCCTGCTGATTTGGGGTTTACTACGGATACAGTTAATCTTGGGACGGCCATTCACTCGATCCTGTTCAGCTTGGCGTGTTTAAGTGGGGCGGTAGTGTGTAAGATTGTTCATCCTGCGAGATGTGAGTGCCACACGATATCTATCTACATCCTTGCTAGTTTGCTAAATAATTATTTCGTGCTAATTAGGGATTCCAATTTCAATGTTCTGCTGGGGACTCGTCACATTGTCGCATGTGCTCATCAAGGATAGAGGGGGTTTCTTGGTTGGTAAGTAGCTTTCGATCCGTTCAACTACGACGCTAATTTTTTCTAGTTCGATGTAGTACGTGACTATTATTGCGCGTCTCCCTTCTTCTATCTCTTCCTCCTGTTCTGATAATCCTCACCCATACCACCCATCTATTCTCCAGTGATTGCCTTGACAGAGGGCGGAGTCATCCCCGCCACTCTCATCTACCTAGGATCCTTCTACCGGAAAACCGAACTCGCTACACGACTGGCCTGGTTTTGGGGTATGCAGAAGATTGCGAGTGCCATAAGCGGATTGATGGCCTTTGGTCTTTTGCGGCTGAAGGGTGTCCTTGGACTGGAGGGATGGAAGTGGTTGTTTTTGGTGGATGGGATCATTACTGTCGTTGTTTCGGTGCTGACTTGGTCCGTATCTACCCTGACCGATGAGATCGTCGATTTACTTGCTTTGACTCTTCCAGGTTCTACTTACCAAAAAATGCATCAAGCACCAAAGGAGGTATACGGGGATGGGAACCCTGGTTCAGTGAGAAACAAGTCCAGATCGCTGTTACGCGTATTATCCGTGATGATCCTTCCAAGCGTCAGTACGAGTGCGTTGATCAATTTGTACGTAGTACTTTCTCCAAGTACTACAAGTCTCTGATCTACCATAACTTAGGAAGCGCGTGGAATGGGCCGATGTTAAAGATGCTGCAACTGATTTTGGATTATGGGGACATCTTCTCATCACGGCCATTGGTCTCACTCCCACCAATCCTTTACACGTCTGTAAGTGGAGATTTACAATCCGATAAATTTCTTTGACGATGCTTTAATGCAATCGACAGACCTCCCATCCATCATCAAAACTTTTGACTTTTCCGTCTTTACTGCGAATGCTCTCACTGCGCCGCCCTACATCTACAATGTTGCACGACGGTGCTGTTCATTCGGCATTCAGACAAGGTCCGTGAGCGTGGATTGCATGGGGCTTTTGGAGGTGAATACATGCCCTACACCCACAACTACTTGTTAGAGCGCTAGCTAATAACGTCTAGCAACATGGCAACTGGTTGGATGGATCCTACTCCGCTTTTACCTTCGGATACAAACAAAGGTGTGAAGTAAGTTGGTACATTTTATTCTCTGGCATTCCACTAAGCGCTCTTTATCTCCTCGCATGTAAAGATACCTCGCCGCCCTTTTCGTCGCTTGTTGGCCATATACCCATCCGTTGAATATTGCCTGGATGTCTGAGAATACTGGGTACGATACTAATTCCCTGTCCTCGAATGTGGCATTTACTATCAGATTGAAATTGTTAGGAGCATCGGCAAGCGAACGTTAGCTTCTGGATCCGTGATCTTTGCTGCTAATATCTATGGAGGTGATCATTTTGTTGCTTACAGCGGAGTCTTCGAAATATAACACCTTAACACGTTTTGACTTGCATAGTATGGGGCTCTCAAATCTACCAAGCGAAAGACGCACCCGACTATCACACAGGAAACACCATCAACATTATTTTCGCCGGAACTGCTGTCTGCTTGTGGTTTATTCAGAAATATTACTACACCTACTGCAATTATCGTAATGAAGAAAGGTTCTCGAAACTCAGTGAGGCTGAGATGAGGGACGAAGAGAGGGATGCAGACGGTCGGGGGAATAGAAGTTTGAAGTTTAGGTTTACGACCTAGGCTCCGGCAAGCCTGGTCCCTCCGAGTCTGCAATGTCTTGTGTAAATCATTTTCAGAATCGAGTCCAGCATCACAGGTCAAGATCTGCTTTCCTTGTACTTACGAGCAGAGAAACTTAAATGCCCGGAGATTCTCCGGGAGTTCGTAAAGTTAGCGCCTTGCGAATAGTTAGTCACGCGCAGAGTGTGCGTATTTTAAGCGCTTGTTCTTTTGAACCTCCATGTATCCATCGTTCGGTTCTGGCATGATATATCACTGCTCGGTGAACCGCCCTGTATAGGGTTGACTGAAAATTACTTACCTCGATAGGGGGTAGTTTTCGATAGTCAACCTCGAGAGGAACTCGAGAGGGGACTGCTTTAGGATATCAGTGACTTTTATCCGTGTAAATTTCTGCTCGCACTAGCTTGGATCTTACATATCAGTCATGAGATCTCCCAGTGCTCTCTACGCTCGGGTGGCGCCAGAGAATTCTCGCGATTTCGTATTCTCAAGCCTTCTCAAGCTCTCCGAGTAAAGTATATTCTATATGTTCTACATACAGAGACGTTCAGTTATGTTGAAAGGTATGTTCTCAGAATTATTCATTTGCACGCAGAAGTTACAACATTCTCCTTGAATGGCCTTCCAGCTTTTCGGGCTTTGGTCTACAACGATAGTGTTCCGACAACGTCGTACCGCGAAATTCAAAACTTACTCATTGGCATCTCGTACACTGCGTTATTAGGGGAGAGATACGGTCAGACGATGCATACTGAAAAACATTTTCGTGCCCTTACTGGTCAGGAACGTTCAAATATCGTGTGTTTTTGGTTTCCATTTCCCGCTCTACGTTATTGCTCCTCCTTCGATTCTGGCTGCCTTTGAACCTCTTCTAGTCATGAGACGAGACCACATGCCATGCTATAAACATTCCTTCAACTCAATCCAATTCATGTAAAAAGAAACTGCAGAACGCAAAGGCAGGGTCTTCGTTCCCAATATGCTTCTCCTTTACACCAGTTTTCAGGCCTTGTCGCCCTTGTCTGCGCCGCTTCTAGTGTTCTGTCTACTGGCACAATCTCTGTGGCACAGAGTACCTCTCAACTCTCCAGTAGCGATAGCCTCTCAGCTTCTATCTCCGCTGGCTCAACAGGCACCGCCACACAAAGTGCCTCTCAGATCTCCAGTAGTGCTAGTCTTTCGGCTTCGAGCTCCTGTTGTCAATTCTCAAACAGGCCCACAATCAAGCACCGTAACAGCATTTAGCTCGAGCGCATCGATTTCATCCGTCGCGTCTTTGTCATCGACATCCATCCAGCCTACGGCCACTCCACAAAGTCCAATTCCGGGAGTCTTTCCTGCTACAGATCCATCTAACCCTCCATCTGTTCAAGATACAGAAGTTCCTGATTTTGCTCCTGCATGGAGTACGGCGCATCAGAAAGCTCAGGCTCAGGCGAGTAATGAGTCGTCTTCTAACTTAAATAAGGCTAACATTCTAATTTGATCTCAACCTGCCATTTTTAGATTGCCAATTATACCCTTGAAGAGCTCGTCACAGTTGTCACTGGAATCGACGCTCTTGACCTTGTCGGTCGATGTGTTGGAAACATTGCCGATATTAATGATTGGCCGGGGTTGTGTTTGAATGTACGACGTTTTCTTCAGGTCTCTCTCGAACGTACATCTAATCTCGTTTTCTCGTACACGAACAGGATGGACCTTTGGGTGTTCGTCTAGCAGACTATATAACTGCTTTTCCACCTGGAATAAACACAGCTTCGACGTGAGGGTTGAGATTTTTAATTAAAATTAGACGAAACTGATTTCGTGTTCATTGAATCGACATGCTATTTAGTTTCAACCGCTCCCTTATTCGCACACGAGGACTTTTTATGGGCACGGAATTCAAAGGAAAAGGCGTGAATGTTGCTCTTGGACCGATGATGAACATGCTCAGAGTACCAGAGGCTGGACGAAATTTTGAGGGCTTTGGCGCCGATCCTTTCCTATCCGGAGAAGGTAATTACTATTAGAGCTCGAGTCACTTCTCTCATTATTTCTATCATAATTATTGACGATACATTTTCCTTAGCCGCTTATGAAACTGTCCTTGGAATGCAGGTAAATTCCAAGCTGCGCTTATTCAGGAGATGATAGTTCAGCGAATTTCAACAGGCCGGTGGTGTTCAAGCGTGTGCGAAGCACTTCATAGACAAGTAAAGTACCCGGTATTTCACTGCTTCTCATCCTCTAACACTTCTTCATACTTTAGCGAACAAGAAACAAACCGAATGACATCCTCCTCCGACGTTGACGATCGCACACAACATGAAATCTACGCTCAACCGTTCCTGCGAAGTGTTATGGCTGGAGTGTCTGCTGTAATGTGCAGCTACAGTGAGTGATTCTAGTACGTCTTATTACAAAAGATCAAGGTCTCCATCCACAAACAGATCTGATAAACGACACTCACGCGTGCCAGAACAATCTCAGTATGAACGG